AATATTATAAAAACATGTTTTATTGTTAATTTCTATAATATTATTACGTAAATAATAATAAAAATTATGATAATAAATTATAGTATATTATTACTATTATTATTAAATAATAATAAAATGTGTTTCTAATGTTCAACTTTTGTATAACTGAAACATTAATTTTTAAGTAAATAAAACTATTATATAATCAATGGTTTAGTCGCTTTAAAGTTGTATATATATATATAATTTAAATAGTTTTAAAATTTCCTTTTAAATTTTTTGTTATATTATAATTAATAATTATTATAATGATATTAAAAAAATAATACTAGTTTAATACTAGTGGTTAATATTTTAAATATGTGTCACAAAATTTAGATACATTAATATTATACAAGTCGTATATACCAGTAATATATAAAAAATATAAAAATAGATTAGATTAATAGTAGGATTAAATACTACTTTTTATTTTTATTAATATTATATATGTATATTTAAATTTTTATTTTTCCAGTATTTTAATACTACATTAGCAAATTAAATWAAATAAATACATAGTATATAATTTCAGATGCTATGTAATGTAAAAATTATACATTTATTTCAATTTTCAAACTACTAATTATTTTCAATAGATAAAATTAAAATTAAAAAAACATGTCCTTAATTTGTAAATATTTCAATATACTATTTAATATCACTTTATATACAGTTTATACAGTAGTATTACTCTGTATTATTATATACCGTATTTCAATTTTACTTATATTTATTTTTAATGATTGTTTTTAAATCGATATTTTCAATCAATTAATGCATCGAGTATTTCATTAGTCTCCGATAGTTTAATGAAAAAAATACTGTATATTATAAAACATATACWGTATGTATACAACATTTATACAGTACATACATACAAACATATAAACATTATACTGTACTTTTTTTGTCAATGAACTAAACTGTATCATTATTAGTATTATTAGTGAACGTAAAAAATAACATACAGTATAATGATATTTTCAATTAAATTTTTTAACTCAAGCATAAACTGATCACTTGATTAGGCGTCTCATTTTTTTTTATATATATAATATAATGTGTTTGGTGTTTATATGCAGGGTTGCTAAAGGGGGGGTAGGGGGTAAGACGTCTTACCCCCCCTGAGATCGAGAAATTTTGGCTTTTACCCCCCTGGCCTGAAGCCAGAAAGTTAGGGGGCCCTACTAATTTTCGGCGCCGAAGGCGCCGAAAATTTTTTCAATTATGTAAAATTTTATATTAAACAAAAAAATAAATATTAAATTAGTTTTAATATAAATTAATAGCTTATGTATAGAAAATAAATAGATAAAAATGCTTAATTACATCAATTTAACATTATTTACACTAGTTAGGGCACTCCACAAGCTAAAAAATAAATTCCCACCAAATTTTCAAAAAAATTAATGATATTTTATTTTATTTATAGCTGTTTATAAAAGATAATATATATTTTATTTCTTATTAAAAGTCGAAAACTAAGATTTTTAGCATAAATTTTAAAATAATTGTATTTTAATATTTTTAAACTTTATATTAAAATTTGTTAGTTATGTGCTTTAAAAATAATAATAATAATATTAACTAAATATTACATAAATAGAGTTGGGGCACTCCACAAGGAAAAAAGCTCCCTAATAAATTCCCACCAATTTTCAAAAAAAATAATCAAATATTTTATTTTATTTTTTAGCCTTTATAAATGATAATATTTATATATATTATTTCTTATTAAAAGTAGAAAACAAATTTTTAGCATAAATTTTAAAGTTATTATATTTTAATATTTTTAAATTTTATAGTAAAATGTGTTAGTTATTTTTCAATATGAAATACTATGTAAAAAATATTCTTAAATTAATTATTTAGAACTAATTATTTATTTCTGACAATTTTATTATTATTATTATTAAAACGTTTTAATAAATACAGTATTAAAATGTGTTAGTTATGGTTCAATATAAAATACTAAAAAAATATATATTTTTAAATTAAATTAATTATTTAGAACTAATTAATAATTATTTCTGCCAATTTTATTATTATTATTATTAAAACGTTTTAATAAATACAGTATTATATCATTAATTTTTAATCAATAACTATTTTTTTTAAAATCTAAATAATATTTTTATTTAATAATTATAATTATATTTGTTATATATATATTTATGCAATTTTTAATATTTAGAAAACATTTTGAGTATTGAGAAATTAAGTTGAGAATATTTTTATTTGTTAATTTATTGAAAATTTAATGGGAATTTAGCGGGAATTTAGTGGGAATTTAGTGGGAATTTATTGGGAATTTAATGGGAATTTAATGGGAATTTAATGGGAATTTAATGGGAATTTACTCAAATTTGGCAAAAATTGTCGTTTAAAAATGCAATAAAAAATGTTCACCCCCCCCCTATACCCCCCCCCCAAGCTTTTTCGAAAATTTTGCCATTTTACCTCCCCCTATACCCCCCCCTGAAATCGAAAACCTTTAGCAACCCTGGTTTATATGCTAAAGCAAATACATGTATTTAAAAGCGATATATAAATTAATATATAATAATAATACAGTATATACATAATAAATTGAGAGAACATTTTTTCAAAATTGCTAAATATTTATTTATTTAACGAGATAGCAACAAAAAAAATATTTAAGTAATTGTAAAGTAATAATTTAAACAGTRTACTGTATATACAATATATTTACATATACTGTAGTAATACAGTAATAATAATTATAATAATACTCTGATGTAATCATAATGTTGTAATACTGAGTCAAAAAATATATATATAATAATAATAAGAAGAAATCAGTTAATAATTTTAGTTGACATAAGCCTTACATATATTTTTAAGATTTTGTGTGTTAAGAGAGAGACCAGACGCTTAAACCCTAAAATTTAATGACTAAATACCGGTGCCAATAGCACAGGTACCTGTAATATGTATGTAAGGCTTTTTCTTTAGCCAAAGTTAGATGAATGGCAATTACGAGATATATAGAGGGATATACATAGTCATAGGCATATATATATATATATATACATATATAGCTTAAAGCGATAACTTGTAGAGCATATCATAATAGCTTATCATAAACATAGGCACAGATATACGTGCTGTTTATGTATGTATTAAAAGTTTTTTAAAATCATAAGAAAGAGAGAGAGATATATACCTGTCTTATTGTATACAACAGTGAAATGAATGCCAGTTTCATCGCTAAATACAGGGCTCAGGTATTATATACTGTACTGTTGTTGTTGTATATAACTTATATATATACAGTATATCATATGATATGATATGTTATGATAGAATAGTTAACACTAGACAGGCCTTTACGACTCCTTGTGCTCTGAAACTCGCAACTCATATGTTTATTAACCAAAATATAAAAGAGAGAAAATTATTATTATTTTTTTGTCTTAACCGAGTCTTTTAACAGACAATAGCCATAATAATAATAATAATAATAAATTTTTGGTACAGTTTTTGTTGTTGTGAAAATACATAAAACAAAATAATTTTAATAAATAAACGATAATGCAATGTATTATTTTTTTAAAAATAAAATTTTAATTATTGTTTAAATAGATTAAAATTATTAGAAAAAGAAATAAAGAGTTCTTAATAAAAATAATAATAATAATAATAATAATAATAATAATAATAATAAGTTTAAAAATATATGTAAAAACTTTTTAAAAGTTACAATAAAACCAAATATAAATGTATTCAATGTATAACTAATTTTATAATATTAAATAAAATCTTTGAAAAATATTTTATTTTGAATATATATTTTAGTCTCAAGCACTGGTCATCACAAATACATACACACAGTAGGCTAGCACTTGGACTTATGAAGAGACTATCATTTTTGCCATAACAGTCGGCTGTAGTTTTTCCCAAATAGTATGGTTCTGTGTGTGTGTGTGTGTGTGTGTTTGGGGCAGTTTGGGCGCAGGCTTGTAGCGCAAGCGCTTCGTTGGGTCTCAGATACTGGTGTTTCATCTAAAGTAGAGAGAGAGAGAGCTAACATACTCTGTGTTCAGGCGAACTGGTATTTCCAGTCCAACAGAATCGCTGTTTAGTTCAGTATTGAGTGAGCGTTCAAACAGTTTGGTTGGATTTTATGATTTTTATCCGCTCATACATACATTTACTGCTTTCAAATACAATATACAGTAATACTGTACTTATATTATATATAAATATATAAAGACTGAAAATTCTTGTTACCAGAAGAGATATGCCTGAGCTCTGGGGCTATCGTTTGCTCTGAGAGTTTAGAGGCAATAATAGTAATAAAAGCAACAAACTGTATGTGAGAATACAGCCTACAAACCATTGGACTTACATATGATATGTGTTTTGTAATAATATATATAAACTAAAGTTTTTTTTTAGTGAAAATGTATTTTACAGTGAATTTTGAAACTTAAAGATTTTCTTCAAACAGAAAAAAATAGTTTAACATAAAATACTAATAATAATWATTATTATTATATTAATTTAATAAGAAATAATATTAATTATAATATTATTAATAATAATGTGTTTAACAACTGGTGAAATATCATCATTTAATTTTTGTCTACAAAATTAAACTACATGTGCGCTCTCATCAAATAAAACACACACTGATATGATTTGTCGAAAGGACAGACACCCGATAATTATAGATAATAATTATATTAATAATAATAATAATAATAATTGAAAACTTGATGGGAATATTATCTGTGATTTTATCATTATATCAATAACAACAAAATTATGTGTTGACCAACACTTGAAATAATAATAATWATTATTATTATTATACGGCACCAGTAGTTTCATCAGAGAAAGATAGATAGAAAAACTGGTGAAATAATGCTTTACACAGTAAAGCACTTGATTTTAATAATAAATTATTTGAAATAATAATTTTTCTGACATCAAACAAAAATATTAAAAATCTTCAATTAATTATTATTGTCTTTGAATAAAATCGGACAATACATTGAATTCAAWTAAAAATGACAACCAAATCATTAACACAACAACACCATCACAATCACCACTATTACTACAGTGGTATTATCACAGCACTGGTCACACAGTTAGTGTTACTGTTGATCACTGAGCCCAGCCATCGCTGGTCAGTAAATGCTGTCAGATATGTGGCTCCAGAGGACTGTGAATGGAGAGCCAGTGCCGATGCTGGCACTGGTGGTGGCAGCGGTAGCGCCGGTGATAGTGTACAGTTGACGTGTAAATTGAGGACAATTAACGGTGCCTTCGATAGCACCAACTTTAGTCTAATACAGGCCCAGCATACGGCTGGTCTGCATATCTTATGTGATGATATACTGTTTGAGAGTTCCTTATCGAACCGTTCGTTCGAGCACTTGACTCAGCTCCGGGAGCTGAACATCGACCGGTGCAAACTGCCCGAACTTCCACTGCTTACTTTCGCCGGGCTGTCACAGTTGCGCAACCTGACGGTGCGCTCCAATAACTTACAGTGGGGTGACCTGCAGCTCAAGATACCGACCGGCGGCCTATTGACGCCAGTGCCTCGCGTCCAGCGTATCGATCTGTCCACGAATGCCATCTCATGGCTGCCCGAATCGCTGTTCTGCGGCCTACAGGAGCTCCAGTTTGTCAACCTTACCGGCAATCTGTTCCAAGAGGTGGTTAGTGTCGGGTTTTCATCGAAAAACAGAGATAGAGTGCAATTACAGTGTAAACTGGACTCCATTAACCAGTTGGACATGTCTTACAATCGAATCAAAGTGCTTACCGACCGATGTTTTGGTCTATTATCGCGACTACAGATGCTGTCACTGCATCACAATCAGATCAGTCGGGCCGAAGAAGGATCGCTGGCCGGTCTGTCCGGACTGACCATACTTGACATGTCGGCCAACCAGTTGGTGGCATTGCCGCCGAAATTTTTTCAATCTGTGTCKACCAGTTTGACAGAACTTTACTTACAAAACAACAGCATATCGGTACTGCCGCCCGGCCTATTCAACCAATTGGGCCAAATGGTGCTTCTGGATCTAAGTCACAACGAGATCACCACACACTGGATTAATACCGATACGTTTTCCGATCTAATACGACTSATCCAATTGGATCTGTCGCACAATCGGCTCAGTCGTATCGATGCCCAAACTTTTCGCAATCAGTACTCACTGGAAGTGCTTCAACTTCATCACAACGAGATCGAGACCATTGCCGACAATGCCTTCCAGTCGCTCTACAATCTTCATACACTAGTCCTCAGTCATAATCGGCTCCAACGTATCGATTCACTGTCTCTATCGGGTCTTCATGTGCTTAATATGCTGGCCCTCGACTCCAATAAGTTGGACTTCATTCACGGCACAGCCTTTAAAAACATTACTAATCTAATGGAACTAAACGTGTCGTCCAATCGACTGGAAAGTGTTCCGACGGCTATCACTAATCTACAGTTTTTGCGTAGTCTTGATCTTTCATACAATCGTATCAACGATATCGCCAACGCCAGCTACCGGAGCAACGAACAGCTGTACGGTCTGAATCTGGAGGCCAATCAAATTGGAAACCTATCGAAAGGTGTCTTCCAGGATCTACCGTCACTTCGCATACTGAATTTGGCCAAAAATAAGATCCAGGGCATCGAACAGGGATCTTTTGACGACGTTCCCGATTTGCATGCCCTACGATTGGACAGCAACTACATTGTCGACATCAACGGTTTGTTCAGCAATCTTCGGGATCTATTGATGTTGAATATATCGGTTAATAAAATCGGTTGGTTCGACTATGCGCTGATACCTATTGGACTRCAATGGTTGGATATTCACGAAAATCARATCGACTCGTTGGGCAATTATTTTGAGTTGGAATCGGTACTGAAATTGCGGACACTGGACGCCAGTGTCAATCGGATTGGCGAAATCGATGCCAGTTCTCTGCCTAATGGCATCGAGAGTGTACTGTTGAACAGTAATCTTATCAAACGGATAGCGCCGTTCACTTTTATGGAAAAACAAAACCTAACGCGGACTGACCTGACCAACAACAAACTGTCCACTTTAGATATAAATGCATTTCGGCTCAGCAAAGTGCCGCTGAGACGACCGTTGCCCGAGTTTAGTGTCGGCGGTAATCCCTATCTGTGCGACTGTACAATGGAATGGTTGCAACGGGTGGCCACACTGGACGAGTCYCGGCAGTACCCGCGTATGGTCGACGTCCAGCAAATTGAGTGTCAGCTGGCGTTTGCCAAACAACAGTCAACAGTGCCGCTAACTCGGGCCAACTCATCGCAGTTTTTGTGTCCATACAAGAGTCACTGTTTTGCTTTGTGTCACTGTTGCGAGTTTGACGCTTGCGATTGCGAGATGACCTGTCCAGACAACTGTACCTGTTATTATGACCAAACATGGTCGACCAATGTAGTTGATTGTTCAGCTAAAAACTATAACAACATACCGCCCCGATTGCCCATGGATGTCACWGCATTGTTTATGGACGGTAACGATATCTATACGCTGACCAGTCATACGTTTATTGGACGAAAAAATATGCGACACTTGCATCTAAACAATAGCAACATTCATAGTATCGGTAATAATACGTTCAACGGTTTGGTTAATCTGGAAGTGATTCATCTCGAGTACAACGAACTGACTCAACTAAATGGTTATGAATTTTCGCCACTGTTTTATCTCCGGGAACTGTATCTCCAGCACAATCGTATTAACACCATTAACAACAATACGTTTATTCATCTGAAATCACTGCAAGTGTTGCACTTGGAGTACAATATGTTAGTCGAGTTTCAAGTGTCGACATTCAGTACATTCAATACTAGACTTACCGGTCTGTATGTGGCCAACAATCGTTGGTCGTGCGAATGTCGATATATGGAACAGTTTCAACAATGGGTCATCAACTACAGCACCGGTATGTTACAGGACACACGCGAGATCAGGTGCTACAATAGTACTGGTACGCTGGGCACCAGTATCTGGGACGTAAATGCCACATCGTGTGCCAATCAGACATCGGCCGATCTGATCTATTCTGGATTGGGACACAACGAAAAAGCGGCCGGTGCTGGCGTATCATTTCTGCCCAGTGCACTGTCCAACGACTATCTTATTATAATTATTGTGATAATGTGTATAATATTTTTGATGTTCATACTGTGCTGTGTTTATCGCAAAGAGCTTAAAGTATGGATATATAGTAAATACGGGGTTCGRCTGTTTCAGAGGACACGATATACACCCGAAACCGAAAAACTGTTCGACGCTTTTGTATCCTATTGTAAGAAAGACGAGTCATTCATTGCACAGATATTGGCACCGGAACTGGAGTGCGGTCCACCACCGTATAGGCTGTGTCTACGCTATCGCGATCTACCGATGAGCGTCTATATGGCCGAAGCCATTACCGARGCTATTGAGTGCAGTCATCGTACGGTTATACTATTGTCGGAACACTTTCTTAAAAGTGAATGGTGTCTATTTGAGCTAAAAGCGGCGCACCGGGAGGCACAGGTCAACAAAAATCATCGTGTAGTGGCCGTCCTGTTGGACAAGTATAATATGACCGATTTGGATGCCGACACCCGACTGTGTCTGCAATCGGTGCCGATTGTCCAGTGGGGCGAACGACGATTCTGGGAAAAGCTCCGGTATCTGATGCCGCCGGCCAGRACTGGCCACCAATTGAAACCCATGAACTACGGACCCGATGTCAGGCCGTCGCTCGAGTTTATGCGGACTATGAATACGAAAATTGTCTAACAATTTGTGTTTTAATATATTTTTTAATAATTTAATTGACAAAATAACTTATGAAACAAACAAACAAAAAAAACAATTTGTTTTCTGTGAATGTGTTTTAGTTGTGAACTTTTTTTTGAAATGAAGAAAAAAACTATTTGTGAAAATACAGCTAAATATTGAAAAAAAAATTATTAATATTTATTATTATTATTGTAATTGAAAACAAATTATAGGAAAAATTGATATGAATTTTTGCTGTTGTAAATATATACATAATTATTATTATTAAATATTATTATTATTGCTAATATGAAAAAAATAGTTTTATATGTATAAAAATYTATAAATTATTTATTTTTTTGGGAGACAAAACACACCAGAAATACAAGTAATTATTTAATTAACAAAAAAATAATTATAAAAATAAACAAAAATAATTGTTGACATTGAAATGAAAAATAAGTAAAAATAATTACAAATAATTTTTTTTAGTATTTGTTATGTTTTGTCTCTCAAAGAGAAAAATCTGATGATAAGAGAATATAAATTAATAATAATATGAATTGTTTTGTAAATATATAAATATATATATAAATAATTATAATAATATTTAAATGACAAAAATTGAATAAATTATTTATTATTGTGCTATTAATATCATTGCATTTATTATTATTATTGTTTTGCATAAATATTATATATATATATAATTCTCATTTGAATATTATTCCGTGTGATTCATATCATACCATTCACTACAATATACACTCCAAACACATMAAAACAGTTAAGAGAGAGAGAGAGAGAGAGAGAGAGAGATRGCATAGAAATAATCGCATAAAATATTATTATTGATTAGAGAATATTCTTATAATTTTCTCAATAACTCTCTCTCTCTCTCTYTCTCTCTCTCTCTCTCTTTCGTCATCATTCGTGTCAAATCTTAATGTTGTCTCTAATGTGTTGACAGTGTTTTCTCTTCTGGATCTAAGTCTTAAGCGAAAACATACACACGGATTGAGTCAATGAATACATTTCATGACGAGATTTGCTGTTTTTTTATTTGCCGTTCATTTCATTTCTCTTTATATACAATATTATATTATATTTATTTTTATGGTATTAATCTCTACGATCGGATCCCCGAGTTTTTTTATCTGTCATATACTACTGTACTTAAAACTTTCTTTATGTGTTTAATATCTTGTTGTTGTTGCTGCTGTTGATGCTGTCATATACAGTGGTATTGCCGGTGGAAATGCTGACTGACTGCCTGTCCATCACCTTAACGGCTAAGACACGCACACATCATATTAAGGATGAGACGAGATATGATCTCTTTGTTTGTCAGATCATAATAATAATAATAAGCATCTGATGAATGCCAACACATAACTAGCTATAGTTATCGAGGGTTTTAATAATGAATTTTTTGACATTCAGTTCACTTACACAGAAAAAACATATTTACAGTATATATATGATATAAAATGTAATATATATTATATAAAGTAAATGAAAATATAGTTTTCAAATTGAATGATAAATTTATATTACAATTTACTTATATGGTTTATTATAATTGTTTATATCATAGTTAGTTGTAAATTGTAATCCATAACACTGTATAATATAATGACAGTCAAACAACAACTACTACAACAACAGGCAGTTTATAATTAGAAAAAACTATAACTGAAAATATATTTTGACTCAAATTGTTTTCTTTTTATTAGTTTTTTGTTTTGTTTTGCTGTTTTATTTTAGTTGTTTTTAAAAAACTTTTGTTTCAAATTTCCTGAAATGTATAGTTATGTTATGTTATGATATATATATATACAGTATATTTTTTGTTGTTGMTTAACATTATTATTTACAGTATATGTATAATTTTTATATATGCATATACTTAATATAATATATTTGTCAAAATCTTATGAGTAAAATGTATATATAAATTATAACTGATTACAAAATAAATTATAATATGAGTCCTCTCTCTATATCTATCTCAACATAAACCSGGCTCACAATTACCTTATTGTTGAATAGTAATTAAATTGTCAACAAAACAGTCTATCATATTTCCATATCCCATACAAAATATGCCAGTCGTTGTTGATGACTATGTATTTAAAGTAATACAATACCAAAAATTAACTAATTTGAATATACTATAATTTTTTGTTATATAAGTGTATATGTTATTTACATATAAATATTATACATATTTATTTTTCACCCTCTTATACTTGAATTATAAAAAAAATTTATTTCCACAAATATATATATAGTCGTCAATTATAATTAGTAAATTTATTTTTCAACAACAAAAATAACTAACGGTACTCAACAATAATAATTATGATTAAACCTCCACATGAATAACAGTATAATATATACAGTATAAATAATAATAATACTGTAAATTATAATATGGCAAAAATTGCCTTAAAAATATTTATTTTTTTGAAAAATTATTCAAATTCAAATTAAGCAAACAAATTAAATGGTAATTATCATTTTAACGGTAGAATTATAATATTATTTATTATAAAAGAAAAAAGATTTTTTTTGTTAAACTTAAGGATAATTTCAATATAACAAAAATTTTCTATAAAAAAATTATATTTACTTAATAAACATATATTTTACGGATGGGTTTTATCCATAGAAAACTAGTAGTAATAGAAATAGAAATAAAATAAAAATTTTAAAAATTATTCATTTAATTTGCAAAAGATTTTATGAATTTATTTCTCTCTTCAAGCAATTAGTCGCTTGAAAATTGTTAACAAAATAATAACAAAATCAGAAACAAAAAAAAAACATTATTATTATTATTATTATAAACAATTGCGACGATCGGCTCATTAGTTGTGTGAGAAAAAAAACTTTTTATTTTTTTGTTGAATATATAATAAAAAATTTTTTTTATTATTACTTTGAATATATCTTAACAAAACTGTGATTTGTGTTGTTGTTGTAAACAACACAATATATAAGTTATATATATATATACAGCTGTATATAGCTATCAGTTGTGTATATCTATTTGACTTCAAGAGTGTTTCCTTCATTAGCCCAACAAATATATATATATATATATATATATATATATATATATATATATATACAGTATATATATGAGTGATATGTTTAGAGGCATATAATATGCATATATATTATATACATATTATGCAAAACTACTTGCGCTTTGTTTGGTTGGGTTTTTAAATTATATGCACTTTATTTTTCTGGTTCCCAGTGTTTTTAGTCTACAAAACTCTCTTTTATAATATTAGTGTTTTTTGGGTTTTATGTAATATACTGTAGAGGAGTGTTGTGTATGTTTGTATGTACTGTATATATATATGTTGCTGCTGTGGTCTCCCTTTCCTCTACACAAGGTTTCTCACACAGACACACACCGAAAACATATATGTATTAGATATCTATATGTAGTTAGTTTTTTCTTGTAAGTCAATTGCCAGTGTTTTTGGCAAAAATTGGTTTTTAAAAAGTCAACTCTACTATTGCCTGAAAGAGAAGTATTGACTGATTTTTTTTTAAAGAGTAGACAGCAATTGAAGTGAACTGGTATTCAAAATGTTCAAAAACAGTACTCTTTAGAAGAGAGAGAGAGAGAGAGAGAGAGAGAGAGAAAAAAAATACATTTAAACTGCAAAATACCAGAGCATTCATTGTGTATGTGTTGAGCACACAGAGCAGTGGTATCTCTGAGAGTCGTTTAGCTTGTATTTCGCACACAACAAAATTGTTGAAACAAAATATAGTTTTTAAGGGGACAACTGGTAGGCGGATCGCCATCTATATGTATAACAGTGCAAACACTCACTGATTATGATGACTATTGATGGGTAATCGTTGACATTTACCCAACCGATTGGTTAACCAGTTTTGACATCCGAGTGTGTATTTCAATGGCAATATAGATATATAAATAAAATATTTGATTTTGAATTAACAAAATATATTTATATACATATGATATATACTATTTTTTTCTAAATATTTTTAGTATTTATTTGTATTTATAAATAAAATTCTAACATTCAAGTGTAGGCAAACATTTAACTATAATTTGTTCACATATTTATTAAATGGGTTAGGCTTATGGATGGCTTAGATATACCTGTATATACTTTATATGTTGTATATATATATTATACTATTAAAAAAGTCATATATATATTTGGGAAATAAATAGTTAATTAATGCCATTTCCCAAATGATTTATATGTGTGACAATGTTTTTATTTTATTATTTTGTTGGTATATATATTATATATATATACTGTATATAATAGTTGAAAAGAGACATTTAATTGAAGTTTTATATCGTGTTTATTGAATGAATATATTAATAATTTATTGAAATTATTTTCTGTTTAAGTCAGTGACGATTTTTATAGTATTTTATTTATTTATTAATCTCATAAATATTAAAATCTAATAAATTATAAAAATTTCTATACAGTTTTTATTTGATAATATTTATATATTTATATTTATTTATATTACTAAATTGAAATAATTAATTTGAATAAAATTGTAAATATTATTTTTAGTTTATGATCTCTCGATATTCAATAGGAATAACATTATAATATAAATTTTTAAATAATAGAAAAATCATTTTTGAATATATACTATATATAAAAAATAGTATATAAAAATAATATTTTTAAATATTATTTATTTATTTTATCTATAAATATTATAAATGTATATTAAAATAAATTACTTAAATAATCAATATATAATTTATAGATTAAAATTTATAAATAAAAATTAATATTTTTTGATTAATTTGTGGTATATTTTAATTTATAACATTATTAGTTTTTTAAATAAAACTAACAAAATTCATTATGATTTAAAAAAATAATATATTCTAAAAATTAAAAAAATATTTTTAAAATAGGGTAGTCATTATTTTCAGAAAAAAAATAAATAATTAAATGATATGGCTAATATATTAAAAGCAATTTCTTGTATTTAAAGAAAAACAACTCTGATATATGATATAAAAAATAAATAAAAATAATTTTTTTCATGTAATAAAATATATATATATAAATAGTATAAACAGTACTGTATATACACTTTACTTTAAAGTAAAAAAAGTCTGGAAAACGATTTAAACTGAGAGATTGAAAATAGAGTTAAAATCTAAGTTAAAGACTTTTATGTGTTTTCTGCTGAAAAAAAAATTATTTATAAGAAATACAACAACAAAATAAAATAAAGAAAGAGAAATATATATATATATATATCGAGAAGTTTGTAATATAACGATATCATGAATTTGTCAAACAGTTTGGTCTCAATATAGTAGACATACTATATATATATACAGAATATTCTGTGTGTTAGCCATTAAATCATTGCGAATAACATGAATCACGTGAACCTTAAAAAGACAGTAGATTTTAGGCGTTTCACTGAATAAATAAAAGTTTTATAATAAAAGAGTTGTTATTATTATATAATATATATGATATAAGAGAGTTTGTAAGTGAAAAATATTGTTTAGCTAAAAGTGTCACTATATATAGTTTATATATATTTAATATATATTTAGTATATATTAATATATATATATACAAACATTTCATAAATGGTACATAAAGTGTGTTTGTATATATATATTTAAATTGTCAAACAATTTCTGCTTTTCCTCTCTCTCTCTCTCTCTCTCTCTCTCTCTCTCTCTCTCTCTCTGTGTGTGTGTGTGTTATACTTTTAAAACAATTCATCTGTAATTTATTTAGTTTATGTTTGAAAATTTTATCTGTGTTTGAGTATTATTGTCTATTTTTAATGTCTCCTTATGAAAGATATATACCATACATGAGAGCTCATGGATGATGGGGTGAATGGAGGGGTTATCTAAACTGTTTCACTCATTATTATACAATTTTATATTATATTATATTTCTAATGATATTTCTTTACCCCAACATTTTTACTGGAAAAAGGGGTGAATAATAAACGTTATGGTT